GGGTGAGCACCCGGCCCCAGTCCTAGCTCCCGCCCACCCAGCGGTTCGAAAGTTAAATGAAATACAAGTAGATAAATGGGTACCTACCCTTAGAAGGGTAGGGGGCACCCTCCTCCATATGGGGACGTGGTGGAGTTTGGCGGCGGCGGCAGCGGCGATGAGACCAGCAATGGCGGTGGCATCAGTGCGACGGCGATGACGGCAGCAAGTGGTGTGGCGACGCGATACGGCGATCCCTGGTGGCCGAAAGAAACAACAGCGCCCAGTACCTGGTTCCTGTCCGTCGACGGGGGAGGAGGAGCAACAGAGAAGCGCACGGTGGTGTGGGCGGCGCCGGCACAGCGGAACCGGATATGGACAGAGCTGAGCCGGGCCACCGCGGGCCACGCACCGGAAGACCAACACCGGGAAGGATCGACACAGATGCCGGCTGACTCAGAAAGACTGCCGAGGAGAGGCGAGAACAAGCGAACCCACCCGGGTGCTGGTAGTCATCCCCACCCCCCCAATAATGTGGCCATAGAATTAGGATCAATATATGCGCTTGCAGCACAATTGTGAACCGGAGCGGTATAGAAGCTGACTGTAATAAATAAATAATAATAAATCTACACTAGTTACCGATTCAGTTAGGATTGCCAGGCCTCTTGCTATGGTGGGAAACCTCCTGCCAATTGCTGCTGTTGCCTGCAGCCACACCAAGCATAAGTACAAAGGAACATAAGAGAAGCCAATGCTGGATCAGACCAATGGACCATCCAGTCCAACACTCTGTCACACAGTGGCCATCAGGAGGTCCACCAGCAGGGCCTGAAGTCTGGAAACCCTCTCACTGTTTCCTCCTCTCACTGACCAAACACCAAGAATACAGAGTGTTCCAGACACAGTGTTCCATCTGTACACCTTGTGGCTAATAGCCACTGATGGACCTCTGCTCCATATGCTTATCCAATCCCCTCTTGAAGCTGTCTATGCTTGTAGCCACCACCACTTCTTGATATGGTGAATTCCACGTGTCAATTACTCTTTGAGTGAAGAAGTACTTCCTCTTATCTGTTCTAAGTCTACTGTTCATTCATTTCATTGAGTGCCCACGATTTCTTGTATTGTGAGAAAGGGAGAAAAGTACTTCGTTCCCCCCTTTCTTTATCCCATACCTGACATTCTAAACCTCTAAGCAGTGGGGGAAGATTATTTTTTTTTTAAAAAAATGCTGGCCTCCTCTGTGCTGATATACAACTTCCAGGTACAACCTGAAATGACTAGAGGTAGTTCTAGGAATTGCCAGAAACCACATGGTAAAACCAGCAATTCTTAGGGCTACCCATTGTCACTTTCAGGTTGTAGCCAGAAGGGACTAAGTGACCTCACCAACATCACAAACACATGCAGTACCCATATCCCTGCACACCAACCTTCCCACTGGTTTCCAGGCTCAGCCTAGCCATCCTATATTGATTTATGGGCCAAACTTATGTGAGAAGCCCTACACAACTTAGGCCTTATATTCCTTTTTTAAAAAAAGAATTTTATTTTAAAAAACAAACAAACAAAAACAGACGAACAAAATACATTTTAAAACTGAGGGTTCCATTTACATCTTAATTTTGTATAGTAAGTTACCTCATACACTGCCTACTTGTATAAATTTATCTTTACCACCATACCTTTTTTTGGTAAATATTTAGCCTTATAATTAAAATATCAATTGTGTTTTTTTTCCAATCCATTGATGCACCAATATTGTTTATTTATGTGAGAAGCCCTACACAACTTAGGCCTTATATTCCTTTTTTAAAAAAAGAATTTTATTTTAAAAAACAAACAAACAAAAACAGATGAACAAAATACTGAGGGTTCCATTTACATCTTAATTTTGTATAGTAAGTTATCTCATACAATGCCTATTTGTATAAATTTATCTTTACCACCATACTTTTTTTGTAAATATTTAGCCTTATGATTAAAAATATCAATTGTGCTTTTTTCCCCAATCCATTGATGTACCAATATTGTTTATTTATGTGAGAAGCACTACACAACTTAGGCCTTATATTCCTTATGGAGCACCACCTGTCCTATGTATTGCCTCGTCCCCTCACCCACACAGCTGAGGCTTTGTTGTGTATACCTTGCAGTGAGAACGCAAGGACTGATTTCACACAAGAGCCGCACCATGATCACGCCTCCCTTTGCCCCGCTTCTATTGGTCAATTTCCCCTCAAAGCCACACAGCTGCCTTTTGACCTGTGACTTTGCCCGATTTCCCCCATGGTTCTGTGATCCTCAAAAAACAGGATCACGAAACTGTGGGGGAAATCGGGTGAAGCCACGGGTCAAAATGCAGCCACACAGCTTTGAGTGGGAAATTGACCAATAGAAGCGAGGCAAAGGAAGGCGCGACCACTGCGCAGCTCTTGTGTGAAATTGGTGAAGAAGACGCTATGAGGTCATGGAGCAGGACTTGCAGAGCTGTGGCATCTTCTGGTGGAGTGGAGCTCATTGCCCCAAGAACAGGACTCTAGGAACCCCCACACCACCTTTTTGGGGTTTTGGGGAGGGAGGTTGCCCCCCAAAGGGGATTTTTTAAATTTGCATTTCTAAAATAACTACATAACTATAACAAAAAAAGGGAGGGGAAAGACTACAGACTAAGGGAGACAGAGAAGAAGGCACTAAAAGCCCAAGTGTAGAAGGTTACATATGTTTATAGATACAAAATTGTAACTCTTAGCAATTAACTTCTGACATGAGGAGTTTCCTTGTTCATCGCTTCAAGTTAGAATCCAGCTTATCTGTCTAGACAGAGAATAGCTCCAAAGCTAATTAAGAAATATAGAGACCTTAAAAGACGTTGACATCTCCCATTATGCTTTCCCTCCCTCCCCACAAACACGACGTTGTGGAGCCTAGATTCACTCAGTCAATACAGTCATCACAATTGATCCTCTTCCTTCTCTGTTGATTCTTCTTTCATAAACAGCTTTAATGAAACAGGCTCTGTCCAGTTAGTACCGCTTTCCTTTTTCCAGGGCTTTCACTCACTTCTTGCTTCATTCACACTCTGGTTAGAGATACCAGCCATTCACTTTGCATGTAGATTTTATAGTACAAGAGTAGTCCACCCTTTGTTATCGCTTTTTGATCTGCTTGCCACCATCCAATATAAGCTAGTCATGGTCTCAATTTTGTCTATAATCCAAGATTCGCTGCTTCTTGTTATAAACCCTCATCCTTTAGAAGTATCGCCATGTTTAAAGCCATTCCCGTCAAATATCCCACTTTAGCAAGCAGATGGCACCCGATTCTATGCTGTAGGAAGAGTCTATGGTTAGGTCACCTGACCTAGCCCTCTGTTTTTGTTCTTCCTGAGAGACGCTTGTGTCCCACCTCCCTCAATGCTTCCGATCGCCATCTTGGAGGGTTGTTTACATTTACTGATTAAAGTTGCCAAAGTCTCAAAGGTCTGTAAACGCTTTTATTGGAAAATTTATCTGATCTAGTCCTTCTACTGTAATCCATTGCCACTGTTAGCTCAGTCCCCCATCGTCCCGCTTCGTTCAATCGCTTGAGGGGGTAGGGCATTCCACTCCCCCTTCCCACTTTAAGTTGTGGGGTCTTCGCAACAGGGCTCTGATGTCTCGCTTTAAACTTAAACTCACTCATCCATCTTCAACTTTAAGTTGTGGGGTCTTCGCAACAGGGCTCTGATGTCTCGCTTTAACTTAAACTCACTCATCCGTCTTCAAGGATGATCCAACGGGTCTCCCTGGTATCTCGCTAGGCAGAGTAAAATCGCCAAACCTTCATACACTTGTCCCAGTGGTCGCTTCGAATCCAATACTGGGAATCAGGGCAGGACCTTCGGAGCAGAGAGTAGCCCCCCTGTGCCGGCTGTCAGCCGGAGGTAGGGCTCTCAAAAGCCCCCTGGCTAGGAGCCCATTGCCTATGGACTCCATGGAAGAGTGCACACAATCGAGCTCCCTCCAAATCCCCGATTCATGGCAAACGTCTCTCGGAGGAACAGAGAGCCGCGGCCATTGCTGAAGTGCCGAAAACCGGAAGTATCCACCACTACCTTTTTGCATCTGCAAGTTAATTCCTGTTATCCCGGAAGGCCTGTTTACAAGAATAATGCTGGATGACTGTTGACCTTGGGCACTGTATTGCTGTTGGCTTTGAAGAGGGGTGTGTGTGTGTGTGGTGTAAGTGCTGTCCAATCACAGGCTTTTGAGTAGGAGCCGCCGCCACCACTATTCCATCATCATTACCCCCCATCATCGCACCTCGACCATCAATTGTGCGGGTATTAAATGGGGTGCGAGACATCCCTGGATGAAGATGGGATGGTTGTGCTGCTAGGAGGTATGTTATTGGCCTGGAATTAATAACTTTTTCCAGAACCCCCTCTTGCAATTAATGTTTCTGTGGCATCTAGAGCACCGACACTTTAGTGTCAAAACAAAAACAAAATTAAGATGTATTGTTTTATTCTGCTTTTATCTGTTTTAACTTCAGCGCTCGTGCCTCTTTGTTAGCCGCCCTGAGCCTTCGGGGAGGGTGGGATATAAATCCAAAAATAAATAAATAAATAAGATGACTTATGGAAACCCCATAGGGGTCTCAAAGCAAGAGATTTAACAGAGGTGGTTTGCCATTGCATTTCTCTGCATAGTGACCTGGTTATTCTTTGGTGGTCTCCCATCCAATTACTAACCTGGGCTGACCCTGCTTAGCTTCCAGGATAAGGCTGGGCTGGGTCATCTATGGCAAGGCTTGAAGAGATACATTGGTTTGTTTCTTTATATTGTATTTTGCTTTTAGGTGACCAATGAGCCTTGTAAATAAGTAAGCAAATACTATTCAGTGACAGGATTGGGACTAGAGTCACCATACCCTGAAAGGGCGTAAGAATCCGCACATGGTACCTATGAACACAGCCAGAAAGAGGCCTGACCTGTTGAGGAGGTGAACGTCATCCTTTCTATGCTGTTTTCCAGATTCCTGATCCACCCATCTACTGGGCTTATCTATACCCAGCCATGGGCCACATTAGATGCTGAGGTCACCTCCAAGTACAACTTCTACGTGAAGGCAGAAGATACAGAAGGGAAGTACAGCTTGTCGGAAGTCTTCATCACCGTGCTTGATGTCAACGACCATTCTCCGGAGTTCAACGGGAACATCCAGGAGAAAACCATGATTATTGGATCGCCAGTGAAAGTGGAGGTGGGTCACGACACGCTGACCTGTTCGTTTTCTACACGCTTTCCCCATCTTCACATTGAGAAAGAGCTAAATGTCTCCCAGTGCAAACCACTGCTGGAGAGACAGAGTGAGTCACAGTTACAGGCAGAGGTAGATTCGGGGGGGAACGCGGGGGATCACAGTTCCCCTGGGTGAGGTGCGGGGGGGTACATGACAAAGTCCCGCCCCCTGCTTCCGGCCGCCCCGCTTCCGGCCCTCATTCAGCCAGGAGGAGGTAGGAGAAGAAGGAGGGTATGTTGCTTCCTCCCTGCCTCTCCCCACCCCTGCCTGCCTGGGGCCAGGGAGGGCCTTCGTGGGGCTTCCTCGCACTCCCACTGGCCTTGCAGGTCCACTGCCGGGCCCCTGATGGGGCTTGGCAGTGGAGCCGCAAGGCCGGCGGCGGCGGCCAGGACCGTTGGAAGCGGGGGGCCTTCGCAGGGCTTCCTCGCACTCCCGCCAGCCTTGCAGGTCCACCGCCGGGCCCCTCATTGGCCATCACACTTTTTTAAAAGCACTGGTTTTTTTGAGGGGAGATATAGTCCACTAAGACTAGCGTGCCACCTGTCCAGGTTGTCCAGAGGTCCCCATCAGCTCAAGAACTGCAGATCTTGGAAGCTAAGCAGGGTTGACTCTGCAAGTATTTATGTCACACTTCCGGTGATGTCAGGGGGTGTGGCCTTATGACACACTTCCGGTGATGTCAGGGGGTGTGGCATATGCTAATGAGTTATGCTAATGAGTTCCCCTAGCTCTTTTTCTACGAAACGACCCCTGGCAGGGACACGGGGGTGGGGGGAGAGGAAGAGAGCCTGGGGAAATATCTCAGGCAAGGGGAGAAGAGATCCAGGTGAGCATTTCTGGGGAGATGTTGGAATGAAGGGGAATGGGACGGAGGGACAGAGTAGAAAGTAGCCTTCTCTCCTACCCATGAAATTTCACACGTATGTCCTTAGTGGTCATAGTAGAACAGGGGTCCCAAACATGGTGCCTGCAGGGATCCCAAACAGGGGTTCCAAACATGGCACCCACCAACACCTTTCCTGGCACCCACCAAGTATTTTTTAGAAAGTGAGCGGGGCAAAGTGGGGCTTTTGCCCAGCAAGGCTTCTGATTGGACATTGAAGCTTTGATTGGCATGCAGACTTTTAAAAAATATTGCTTCTGCAGGAGCTGTCAACAGAGCACAAGGATCTTCAGTGTGGGGGTGAAGGCGAGCTACGGCAGCCACAGACTCCGCCTCCTGCTGCAGCCATGACACGGCTGCGTCCACCACGCTGCGTCAGAATTCCAAAAGTGCCCACAGGCTCAAAAAGGTTGGGGACCCCTGTAGTAGGAAGAGAAGAAGCAATAATGCCTGGCATCATTCTTTGAATGCCATTTGTGCAGAAGAGGTGGAAGAATAATGCTCTCCCAAAAGCATATGCCTCGGAGGCCCTATTTTGACTTCGTTTTATCCCCGCTTAGTAATTAATACCATGAAACCTTTAACCACATCTTCCTCTTAGCCCTCTTGAAAGTTAAGAACATAAGAACATAAGAGAAGCCACTGGTGGATCAGGCCAATGGCCCATCCAGTCCAAATACCAGGTGCCATCAGGAGGTTCAG